GTTTTGTTGTTTTAGCTTTCTGTGTTTTTTCTGTTTATTGGTTTTCAGACGTTGCTCAGACGTTTCAGTTTTAGTTTGAATAATAATCCTTCACCCACAAACACATGATTAAAAAATAAATTCACTGCACAGACACACAAAGAGCTGCGACACGAGCTTCAGTGTCTTTTCAACGAGATTTTAAGACGGAAGCAGAGGTCGAACGTCCCACACTGCGATTAACGGACAAAGGGTCACAGCTTAAATTATCTTCCACACAATTCATTTGAAAGCAGCTTAGTTAGAATATTAGAAAAAAAAACTTGTTTTATTGAATTTCTGTCTTCATATTTTCTTCCATGACCTGTTTTCCACTCTCACAGGCTTTGGCCTGAAATCTTACGTCTGCGTCGTGTTTGTTCTCTTGTTTTTATCTGTGTTCACATCCTGTCACTTTGTAGAGCGCCTCATAACGAACCCACTTCGCCAAAGAAACAACATTTAACGCGACTTGAAAAAGAAAGTGGCGCTACGTAGAATCCCGACTGCAATAAACAGCCGACTTATCAAACTCCTTGGTGGGTCTGGAACAGAATACAGTGCGATATTGCAGAGCTCGGGACGAGGTTTACGAAGGCCCAGCAAACTGCTACCAGATGACTGGAGCGCAACTAACCACAAAACGAGGGAGGGGAGCGAGGGCGGGGGGTTTACATCCCCTTAATCACTGAACAGCTGCCTCTATAGGACTCCTATAAAGCTTCAAGATGGTTCCTAAAACCAACATTAACTGAAAGAGGTTTAAAAACAGAGCCATAGGAAACCAATTTCCCCCAACACCAAACAAGCTGGGGGGAAAAAGCCGGAGCTTTTCTGTGCACTGCAGAAAACCCATTAAGTTCGTCTGAAAGACTCGGTGCGGATCAGTCCTCTGAATGCGTGTCATGAAAGGGAGAGGGGGAGCAACAGCCAGAGACAAATCCTGGCAGAGAAGGTGCATCCTGGGGAAAAAAAAAAAAGGGAGACAAAATCCCACCGGAGTGTGTCGTCCTGTCGCAGGTGATTATTCTGGGCGACAGAAGAAGTGCTGCCTCATCGTTGTGGAGGGAAACCAACGCCACATGTCAGAAAAAGAAGGGATTTGAACTGAGGGACAGAGGATGGTGACACATCAGACCCCAGTGAACACGCTCATCCCCCCTTCAATCCAGCATCTGCTGTTTAAACTGAAGATTATTTACTGGTCGAACTTCGGACTTTGTTTATCAGGAGTCTATGACAGGTGTTAATACGACGAGGGTACACACTCTGAAATACAGACGTGTATTGTTTATAGAACGAGATAGAATCCAGGTCATATGTTCGGAAAAGGACCCGTTGTCTTGCGAAGGTCATAATCACTCATGACCTTTCCATAACAAATATTCAATAAAGTTACAGGACGGAGGAGACGTCGTCTTTTGAGTCACATTCAAAGATAAAAACGTGAATTATACGCAGACAATTAGCTGCACGGAGACAATTAGTTGATAAAAAAAACCTTCCACTGAAGGACGGACGACAATTTCTGCCAAACCGTCAAGATGCAGGACACATGGTCACAAGCTGTTTCCCAATTCAGGGGCCGCAGCCTCTGAAGGCTCCTTCAAACGCAGCCGACGAACGTGTCCTTCAATTCCCGAGCCGTGAAGGCTAACGACAAGCTAACAAGCTAGCTATGTGGGTGGCTTACAGTCGCCAAGGATGCAACAATAAGGATGCAGCCTCTGACTTCTCTGCGTTCCCGAGTTATCGGCGTTGCCAAAAGTGTTTTTTTGCAGAACATGATGATGTCACAGTGAAGTTGACCTTCGAACCTTTGGATGTTTCAGACGTAAATCACGTCATCGTTTTACACTCTGACACATTCGTCTGAAGACGAGTCATAATTCGCAGATGAACTCGAACTATATGGTTAATCGAGCTTTTGATAAAAAAGAAACCAGGACATTAAACCTGATGATAAACATGCCTCCCACCAACCTTTTTCCCAGGGTGCTTAGCGGTGTGCTGAGGCTGAGTGGAGCTCGTGCAGGATTGCGGTTGCGTCCCGTCAGTTTGGCGGCAGACGGCTCCTTCTTCGGGGACTCGACCGTGCGAGCCGGGCTGGCGCCGGGTTTGATGTTGAGGTCCTTCAGGACGTCGTAGTTGATCTTGGACGAGATCTTCTTCTGCTCCAGCATCTTCCCGATGGCCTCGTCGGCGGTGCGCGCTCGGATCGAGGCCCGTTTCTTCGAAGGGCCTCTGGGCTGGTGCACAGAAGTTTACAGTTAGACGTCTCATCGTCTGGGTCCACGCTGAAGCTTTTTGGATTAACAACAAACCCGACATGATCCCGGCTGTGACTGTACAAACACCTCATTAGAAACAGGCCGTGCAGTCGACCTTTCTTCTAAACTCACTGCAGATCTACTCAGCAGACGGTCAAATGTTATCTGGAAGTAATTTTTAGACTGTTTAGTTCCCAGCGGAGAAGAATTAGCCTGCTGAAAATTACTGAGCAATTACAGACCACCAAAGAAACATGTCAGCAAGCAAACGCACAACAGAACCCATTCTGTGATTATCAATTTATGTGGATCCTGACCCCAGATCGAGGTTATCACTCCGCTCCAGTTATTCCACAGATCTGCAGTTTCTACACGTCTTAAATCTCTGATCATTTAAAAATCACGAGGGGACGCTCACTTCATCGAGCGTAAACACAACGAGCGCGCTCTCTCTGTGTTGTTCGTTTATTCAAGCGTTTGTCGGTGATGTGACAGGCGGCTGCCGCTGCTGTCATCGGGCTGCACGTCTCATTACGTCTCTGTTCCAGTGCCGTTAATCCAGCTAGTTAAAACCAGCCGGCAGATGTTGGGTCTAACAAAGGGTCTGCGCCGAGCCAAGAAACCCGTAATGGGAAATGAGAGGGAACCAGTTTCACAGGACTCCGTCCGTCTGTCTGTCTTTACTCCACAGTCTGCTCATCTCTGTGTCTGTCAAACTGTCCACAGCACTGTGACTGTCCAACTGTCAACAACTGTCCTGAGAGATATTCTTATACTTTTCATGTTGACCCAGTTAACTAAGTGGAGCACAAGCCTCTGACCAAGGCTCTTTATGAAGACACATTAAAATGAAGGAGATCCAGATTTGAATTGGTCTTTGCACCGAATTGCACACGCTCATAAACATCAGTCTCCTAAATATATATATATACTTTTTTTTAAATCAACGAAAATGTAAAAATAAACATCTCAAAATGTTTAAAGAAAGTTCTGGATCTGCAGCAGAATTTAGCTCCTGTTGCTTATTCTGCAAACAAACAAACAGAACGTCAGTCTTTACATTTAAATCCAGTCGATCCTGATTTTTATTTGGAACGGCACCAAATTGCACAGATTTTTTAAATAATGGTTATATGAGGACACGAGGAGCAGATCTGAGTAAATAACAGGTTGTATCCTAAGTTCTGTTCGTCCGTTTATCTGTTTCTCTTCTGACCTTCAGACCAACTCTGACCAACCTGCCCTCCCTTATCTGAAGGTGTTTGAGTCTGACCCCGCTGTTACCTTCTTCTCTTTGTAGGTCCCGAGCTCCTTCTCCTTCGCTATCTTCGCCTCCTTTTCTGAAAAGAGAAACGAGCGACAGTCTGAACACAGAACCTCAGAGATAACGACATCAACACACTGGGCCAAGAGATAAACGCCGGCAGGTTTGACTCCGCTCGGCTGATAAAACACTGAAAAGTACATTTAGAAGCAAACGAAAGTTCAATCCAGCCTTGAAACAGAATCCCGTCGCATCAGGAAAGTACCTTTCTGCTCTTTGAGGTAGTCGGAGTTCTCTGCCATCCAGAGCGCCGTCTTGATTTTGATTTCCCTGTCATCCAGCAGGTACTGCAGAGCATCACAGGCAGCGTCAAGATCAAACAGGTACAGTTCACATCCCAAAACACTAATAATGGGTTTAACATGAGGGTAAAATAATCTTTATGATCACAGTGTCATGAATGTCTAATATCCAAGAGGCGGAGAGGTGTCAGTGGCTCATTCAAGTAAATGGCAATGACATATTTCACATATTAGTTCCACTGAAAAGACAATTTATTTATTCTTAGTCTTTGGAAACGAGGTCCGTATTTATCGTTTGGAATTGTTGCACGATTCAAAATAAATAGGACCTCACGTTGTTTCAATCAGTTTCAACCATTATCTCCTAATGTGATTGTAAAACACGTGATACTTGGTGCGTGTGACCATTTAACAAAATGCAAATGAAAACTTTGTGTGCAAAGAAGCAGGCGTGTGTTTAGAAGATCTGAAGAAGGTTCTTCTCTGCTGAGCCGAGAGGAACTCGTACATTTGAGAAGGTGTGTGTTTGTGTGTGTGTGT